CTTTTGGAAGACCAACCAAAGTAGTTTCGCTTTCACAACGAAGCACACAGCGTCGTTACGACATGGCGGCGGCGGCAACAACAATACTACAGCGAGATAAAAGTTACACCTTCTTTCTTTGCGTGAACATTTGGGCGGTGTTATGCAAATCTTCCCACATAGTGAGGTAGACATGTGGGGGCGTGTTAGAACGAGCCGTTTTAGGTAGGCGTGGCTGACTCTTAACTTTTAGAAAGAATATCTCTTTGGATTTGAGACTTTAGTCTTTGCAACTTTACAGATCTTCTTTATGCACCAATAGCTTGTAACACTCCAAAGAGAAAGGAAAAATTGAAATCGCATCATATGACCCCTTTAAGATAAACTTAAGATCAACTAAGTGTACTCAACTGTGCTATTTTGGGACATATGAACTAAAATGTGCTTTAAACATACTATCTCTGTATTAAAAAAAAAATGTATTTAGTCACCACTTGTACACTTGAGTGTACTAAGTGGTAATTAAATACATTTTTAAATAGAGATAGTGTGTTAAAAGCGCATTTTAATTAATATTCATGATGTCCCGAAATAGCACAGTTGAGTACACTTAGTTTATCTTAAGAAGTACTAAAGAATCATTTTTAGTATATTAAGTACAAAATTAGTGTGCGAAAATAGAGCACTTTAAGTACATTATGGAAGTGTACTTTTTTAAATCTGGGAACAACAGGACTGGGTCATATTTGTTATGGATTACAATGTAGTTTATATAAAGTGCCCACGTTACTGTTGGTAATAGACTAATTAATGTCACATCCGATGGTGTTGTCTGCCTGGGATTAAAAGGACTGGACTAGTAATGCACCCATATTAAAATTGTGGCTGTTACTAATAAAACACTTATTTCATGTTATGGCCAAAAACCGATAAATGGCTACTATTTTCTGCAAATAAGTTAAAAATAAAATACTAAAATCAGCCATTTAAGATGCTTACATCATTACAGTATTAAAAGTAGATTCATTTGTATTCAAGAGATTTGCTAAAGATAAGAGACTGTTATTAAAATATTTATGTTTTTAATGATTAACTTTAAGGGAGCACCAGATGAGGCAAATGTATTGTAAATGTAAAACTGGAGAAACAAGCATGCACAATTACATCTCCAATATCAACAACCTACTGTATAAATGACAAAAATCTGTAATATCATTTAAAATGGTGCCAATACAATGTTTCTAAACAGCACAGAGGCAGCACTGAATAAGATATGTACTTAAAGAGATAGTTCACCCAAAAATGAACATTTTCATTATTTACTCAAGTTGTTCCAACCCTATATGAGCTTCTTTCTTCTGCTGAACACAAAATATATTTTAAAGAATCTAACCAAACAGTTGATGGACCCCATTGACTTCCATAGTGTGGAAAGGACCCCAGCAACTGTTTGGCTGTTCTTCAAAATGTCTTCTTTTATGTTCAAAAGAAGAAATAAACTCATACAGGTATGGAACAACTTTTTACATTTTTGGGTGAACTGTCTCTTTAAATACTGATTCAGACAAAATGTTGGTTTTAGAGCTGCATTTGATAGTGTCGATGACAATGTACTAATTAACAGACTGAAAATGTGGGTAGGACTCTCTGAGACAGTGTTTAGATGGTTCAGGTCATATTTAGCAGGCAGGGCAACTTTGTGAACATTTACGAATCTAACTGGGCTGCCATGACACATGGAGCTCATCAATCCTTAAGCCTGAACTATTCAATTTGTATATGCTCCCATAGGCCATATAATTGAGAACAGCAACATTGCTCATCACACCCAGATCTACCTTGATCTATTTCCAAGTGACATAGTCTACCTGTGCCAGGGCATAAATCAAATTTACAGCTGGCTATTCCAAGTTGAATTAACTAAAGACGAAGGAGCGGTGATTATATTTGGCAATAAAGATGAAATATCAAAGGTGAGTGCATACCTTGACTTCAAAAACTAAAAATGAAGTCAGGAACCTTGGTATCATTCTGGAATATTATTTCAAAAACCATATAAAAGCACTAACTAAATCAGCCGATTACCATCTAAAACAGTACAAATCAGATCCTTTGTGCACAAATAAGACCTCATGCATTCATGAGCAGCAGGGCAGATTACTGCAATAGATTTCTTACTGGCCTTCCCTGGAGGACTATTAGACAGTTGCTGGCTCCTGAGCAAAACCAAAAAACTGAGCTTATTACCAGTCATTAGGTCATTATATTGGCTTCCCGTTCCATTTCAGAATACTTCTAACTGTATGGAATTCCCATAATGGCCTTGTACCAAAATCCCTTGCTGATATGCTGGTGAGAAGGCATTTAGATGCCACCTGGAAAAAGCTTCTAAAAGTTATCAGGGGTGTCCTGAATTTTGCTACTTTTATTATTTCTTTTGTACCTTTTTATGACTACTATTTTTTTATTATTATTATTATTTTTATGTAAAGAACTTTGAATTATCATTGACATGTGGTATATAAATAAGCTTGCCTACAGCTTTCAGAATGGATGATTCATGAACAATTACCTTTAACAGGATACATAAAGAACAGTTTACCTGAAATGAAAATTCTGTCATTTATTTACCATCGTAAAGCTTGGAACATAAACGAGCCATCTAGCAAAATGTCTAGTTTGCTCTTTTAATTACAATAAAAGAGGGAAAGAATACCAGTGGTTCTCAAGCTCCACTGACAGATGAGTACATCATAAGTTCACACAATTCCGCATTCTGAACATTTTGCTAAATAATCTCTTTTGTTTCTCTTTCTTTTAAAGGGGTCATATGATGGATCGGCTTTCACTGTGGACGAAGCGGAGTCCAGCCCGGGATCGTCACATTTGGTTGCCGCAAGCCCTCCGGACGCTCCTTCATTGAATCCGCTGGCCGCGCCGTTCTCAAGCCCGCCACCTCTGCTCACTATAGGCCACCGTGTGTAACGCTGTGTTTCGTTGTGAAAGCGAAACTACTTTGTTTGGCCTTCCAAAAATGGACACGACTACCACTGGATGCAACAAATGCCTAGTTTATAATGGGGTTTAATGTTTTTGTCTCGTCGCTCCGGCCGGGACAGGGCATCACAGTATGGTAAGGGGCGTAACATTTCCATCACACGCTTGAGGAATTCGGCCAATCACAACGCACTGGATAGCTGGCCAATCAGAGCACACCTCGCTTATTTTTTATGTTAAAATAAACGCGTTTCAGAAAGGCGGCGCATAGAGGAGAAACAATAATGTACAGTATGTGGAAAATAATGTGTTTTTTGAACCTTAAACCGCATAAACACATTTCATTACACCAAATACACAAAATAATGTTCTTTTTAGCAACATCATATGACCCCTTTAAGCGATATGATGGTGATTAGCTGAATTAATTTTTTAGGTTTGGATAAACTATTCCTTTAGGTATCATGCTCGAGGGACAATCATTACAATAGTTACTGAATCACATCATGTACGGTGTCTGGAACTATCCCATTGACCCCAAGTTTCTCCAGAGGGGCTGTTCTTGGGATAAGTGTCAGCTAAATGAATAACCACAGTAATGTTATATATTGCAGTAAACTCTTGTTGCAGTTGGTTGGCACACATGGTCTGTAGGGGAAAGAGCCATCCTGCATAAGCATATGATAATGTATTGGCTGCTCAGGTCCATTTACAAGTGTGCTGTTGTAATCTCTGAAAGTGCTGGTTTCCCTTGTCATCCTGGACACTGTCCTGCTTTCTTTCTTTGGGCAGATGTGTTTGTGGACTGGACGTAGTCTAGAGTTTATATATTTTCTCCCAAAGTAATTATATTTCTCATCAACAGAAAGAATGAATGAAATATCTACTATACACTCAAGTATATCACTTTTCTTTGGGTCTTTGTCTCCCTCAGAAATGGTAATGTTCTTTTCTTAGCATTGCCATAAATGTGCCATCTAAGGCGAAGAGAAGTAAAAATAAATTGGAGGTAATTATTACGAGGAAATGGCAGAATAACATGATGCATAACTGAATTGAATCTGTGAAAAGGCACATGAATTATAATTTTGCTTCAGTGTATAATGACTAAAATGAACGTCTCATCTTCTTCTATAAGCATTTCACTCTAGGATAAAATTTTTATTACAGTTAATCCTCTCAGTAATCCAGAAGCAGAGACACCGAAAGGGTAAACCCAAAATAAATTTATTGAGACAGCAGAGAGACTGTACGCTCTCCTACTCTCCTTCCACCCTTTTCACAAGGCAATTAAGAAATCATGCTAAGGCTATGGAAAAAAAATGGAAATAACAAGACATTTTTGCAGGGTCTGATGAGGGGAAATCAGATTCCCCTTCATGCAGACCACAAACGACCATCACAACCTGATTCAGAAAGTCCATTCAGAGCGATCTCTTTGTACCAGTGCTGTGATAGACAACGTAACACACACACAAAAAAACAAAAGGCCCGTTCTAGCAAATTTGGCCTGCTAAGATTATGCTCGACGAGCGTCTCTTTTGGGACAAAGTCAAAACAATGTCTGTGACCTCCTACAGAGGTGAATACAAAGTGCAAAAACAAGCCAAAATGAGAAATGCTTTCATACGTAAAAGAGCAACAAAAAAAATACCACATAAGAGGAAAAATAAAAAGGAACTGGCAAAAATGTTAACAGTGGAAATAGGCTATAAATATACAAAGGCCTCTTAGCTAAATAAGACTGAATCCTTGGTGTGCTGAACAAGGAGACAGTAAATAAGCAGCACTGTTTCTCTTAAAGAGTCCCACTTACTCAGTGCTTGTACAACATCCTGTGGACAACGTCACCTGTGCCAAAGTTTAGGGTTCAAGTCACAAGACAACATTTACACATGTACTGAAGACTGTCAAGTTGTCAAAAATATTAAACTGTAATGAAAGCTGATCCATCTGAATGTATGTATATATTACATACTGTACATAGACCAGCAGAATCAATACAAAAGGACTCTGCAACCACCTTGTAAATATATATACTCATATAAACAGAGATATGTACTCTGTAAAACATACCAGTTTGCATGAATTGAACTACATGGAAACTGATTTCCCCACTTCGTTATGTAAATATCATTGCAGTATCAGCGTTTCCTGACCTAACCATTTAAGCTCACAAGTAGTACATCTTAACAGGCATGCCCCTAATGACAGCCCATGAGTTTCATGGAAATACTATACTCTCCCTCCCCAGGTCCCTATAGGTTTGCAGGAGGGAGGAACATTGAAGCAGCAATGACTGGAATATTAATGGAGAATGTTCCCTTCGGTCCTCGGGAGTGAAACCTTGGCTCGGACATCCTTTAGCCTCTTACAGAGATTTTGTTCTCCACCGCTGCCAGCATCGCACAGAAGCGTGAGTTCTCATTCGCCAAGAGCTTGGACGGCTCGTCAAATTCCACCACCTGGGTCAAACAGAAAAAGACTGAGTCAGTAAATAGAAGAACCACAGGGAAAAAAAAAGGCTTCTTTCATCAAATACGTTTGAAGGAACAGTGGAGCATTGGATTACGTCCCACCAGGGTTGGAAAATAATTAAAGGGGGCTTGGGGCAAAAATGCCACCAAAGTGAACAAAAATGACATCCAAATTCAAGATAAGTAGGAGAAAACTGCCCCTGCACAAGTAAACTAAATCTGTTATGTCTGCTCACATTGCATCATATTTTCTGTTCATTTTTTGCAGCATTGAGCATTATAACCAATCACACACATTTCTAATGAGCTTATGAATCCAATGGCCAATCAGAGGTAGCCTATTTAAATTAGTCACCGCTAAAAACCGGCAGTCTGAAGAGTTCTCTCATCATAAACAAGAAAGTGCCGGTATTTCGAAGCGTAGGCAGTGTCAGTGATTGTATCTGGGGGTTTTATGAGTGCAGAACTTGCCCTATGTAGACTGAAGTCATGGACCGCTTCAGTGATGGGGAACAACTTTGCTCGCTTTGTGTATAACTTATTCCCGTTCGTTTTTCATGCTACCAAAATAACCAATTTGAACTCTGACTTCTAATGCTTAAAAAGCAATAGACAAATTCATAAACAATTATTTTTTGTCTTAGCTTGTTTCCTCAAACACAAAAACTTTTTTTTCATGAATTCTGTTAATCAACATTAAAGATACAAAAGGAGCATTTAAAAACAATAATGATTTGTCATAGTATTATAGCTCTACTCTGTAACGAGCTCCTGTTTTATTGATATATTAAAGGGTTAGTTCACCCAAAAATCGCTCATCTTCAGAAAACAATTTAAGATATTTTTGATGAAATCTGAGGGCTCTCTGACCCTCCCATAGACAGCAAGGTAACTACCACGTTCAAGGTCCAGGAAAGTACCAAGATGATCGACAAAGTAGTCCGTGTGACATCAGTGGTTCAACTGTAAAGTTACGAAGCTACGAGAATACTTTTTTGCGCAAAGAAAACAAAAATAACTACTTTATTCCACATTTTCGTCTCTACTGCGTCACTTGTAGACGGGCGTTCACAACAGTATCATGACGCGAGCGAGCGATAAAGTTGTTATTTTTGTTTTCTTTGCGCAAAAAAGTATTCTCGTAGCTTCGTAACTTTACGGGTTTGGAACAACACGAGGGTGAGTAATTAATGACAGAATTTTCATTTTTGGGTGAACTAACCCTTTAAATGTAGGCTATTTACATTATGCAGCTATAGTGTAAATACCTATCAATGCTATGTCAGATGCAGCTTCTGTTCCAGAGTAAAGATGGCTTTTGGTGATGCTGATAAAACTTGATTGGTCTATAGCATTCTGATTGATTAATTGGTTAAATTTAAGTATTTGATGTAGAGTAAGTATTTGACATTTAATACAGGTAATTATAAAGACTGCCCCTACAATGATAAAAAAAAAAACAATACCCCGGAAATCAATTCCAGGGGCAAATATTGCCCCCTAATGGAAAGGTTTTTTATCCAAACTAGTCATTAGACCGCTACACCATACCTGGCCCTGATTGAGCACCATGATACGGTCACAGCTGAGCACTGTGTGCAATCGGTGTGCAATGGTCAGTGTGGTGCAGTCCTGGAACGCATTACGAATCGTCTCCTGAATCAGACAGTCAGTCTCTGTGTCCATAGCCGCTGTGGCCTCGTCCAGAATCAAGATCTAAAAATCAGGAGGAAACAAATCGGATGACCCGGTTAAATGAGACCAAGTCTGTTCTGCATTATCAGCTAATTCCAGTCAGCTTTCTCTAATGGACAAGACCAAAGTCGGGCTGTTAACTCACCTTGCACTGTCTCAGAAGAACTCGGGCCACACAGAGCAGCTGCCGCTCACCCACGGAGAAATTCTCCCCGTTTTCCACCACCTCGGACTCCAGCTTTAAAGGCAGCTGAGACACCTGAACAACAGAGAGGAGATGCAAGACATCAATCACAAAGATTCAAAGCTGTGGGAAAACTGAAAGAAACGGTGATAAGATGAAGGGAAGAGCAACAAGAAGTCACTGAGATTTCATACGTGCCCTTAGGTGTGACCGACAAACTGAGAAGCTGCTACGTGACAGTGGGCAACCTGAAACTACTTCACCTGTAAACGTTATACATGGTGTGTCACTTTTGAAGGGTTTTCTTTAGCTTACACATTCTTTCATGTGTGTCCTCTCCAGGGCATCCCAGATTTGCTCCTCTGAATACAGGTTAAAAGGATCCAAGTTGGATCTGTTTGAAAAGAATACAAAACAGAATGCAGATGCATGAAGAAAACTGACAGATAAATACATTCATATGAAGCTGGATTAAGACACTTTATACAATATAGATTGTTTCAAAACAGCTTCCAATTACTAAAACAAGATTATTACAGTATTGTTTTTTTAAATTCATCAATTATAAAACTAAACTGACTTCGGTAGACCTACTTTACAGCTAAAATTTAATGATGTCATTATTCAGCTCAAGTCAGTTCAGTTCAATAACAGTGTCAGTGTCTGTAGTTACATCGTGCAAAGTTCCTTGATTATTATGCCGGAATGAGAGTATAGTTCCTAGCCATATCGGCCTAGAAAATCACAACTTTTCATTTTCCATTGGTCTTAGTACACGATGTAACTACAGAAGGGTCAAGTTTTAAATAGGAAAAAATATCGAAACTCTTTGGTCATTTTTGAGCGAGATGCTAACGGTCTAATCAGATTCAATGATCTATGCTAAGCTACAGCTAAAAGTGCTACCGCCAGACCCGGAGATCAGCTGAATGGAAAACTCAACTGTTTAACTCTAGGGGAGTTGGAAAATGAGCCTATTTTTAAAAATAGTGGAGTGTTCCTTTAAGTGTTTTTTCTTTAATTGCTAATGCGAACGTTTTACATCACAGACTGAACAAAATTAAGCATTGCTTGGTAATTGGTATTATCTAATTGTGTACTTAAATTTAACAGCTGACAGCTATTCATCCTAATTCAGTACATACCTTTCTATCAAAGTTATCTGACAGTATCAAGATGAATTTGTTCTGACACAGTTTAACCGAGTTCATGTCATTTTTTGAATGACCATTTTCTAAACTATAGCGAATAAACTGATGTGAGAAATGTTGAAGATGTCTGAATAATTTTTGGTTTGACTGTATGTGCGAAATGGTCTTTGGGAATCAGTTGGGATACAGCATAAGTCAGAGTCCCGCCTACCTGACAGTACCACTGAAAAGCACTGGCTCCTGTGGAATGATTGACAGTTTGCTGCGCAAATCAGCAAGGCCAATGTCGCAAATGTTGACACCGTCAATCTTAATGGAGCCACCACACGGTTCTACCAGCCGGTAGAGAACCACTCCCAGAGAAGACTTCCCTGAGGACAGACGAGAGGGCAGATTTATGGTTTTTCTCTTTATTACACATTTATCTATTTTCACCATGAAAGTCATTTATAAAAACTCCTGATTCTAAAAGTTACCTTAAATTGAATATCTGACTTACACAAGAATTTATTTTAAAAGTCAATGATGTCTTGATAAACGTTTATTATTACCATCTGTTAATAGGCACTTTATAGTTTATTAGTTATTTAAAACCATAAAAAATATATTATATATGTGAATGACAGACCCTCTTTTATTTGTATTATTATTATTTTTATTAATTATATTTATTTATTTTTGGTTGTGTGCAGTCGAAACTTGTTCTGTGGGTAGGCATATGACGGTATCAAATTTTCATGGTGCGATTAATTGCTAATGCTTTTATCACTGTATACGGTATTATCACGGTATTGAAATTTAGTTACAAAAAAAAAGTGTTGTCAAAGTATAACAGGTTTAATAACTTGTTTCCTATAACAAAAAGAACTGAACATTTACATACAATAAACTAATACACAAGAATTATAGCACTGTATACGGTATTATCACAGTATTGAAATTTAGTTACAAAAAAAAAGTGTTGTCAAAGTATAACAGGTTTAATAACTTGTTTCCTATAACAAAAAGAACTGAACATTTACATACAATAAACTAATACACAAGAAATTCACACAGATTAAAGTGCCAAAGAATTCTAAAGATCAATAAGTAACACTTTACAATAAGATCTCATCAGTTAACCTTAGTTAATGCATTGTGCTTCAACCAATATGCAGAACAAAACATCATAGTCATGTGGTGTGACTCCCCAAAAATATTATTATTAAATATGAATTAATAATGTTGTATTTGTAATAATATTGATATTTGTAAATAGGCATATGACGGTATCAATTTTTCATGCTGCGATTAATTGCTAATGCTTTTATCACGGTATACGGTATTATCACAGTATTGACATTTAGTTGCAAAAAAGTGTTATCATAAACTATAACAGGTTTAATAACTTTTTTCTTATAACAAAAAGAACTGAACATGTACATACAATAAGGTAATACACAAAAAAATGATAAAGTAAAAAAAAAATTCATACAGATTAAAGTGCAAAAGAATTATAAAGACCAATAAGTAACACTTTACAATATGATCTCATTAGCTTACCTTAGTTAATGCATTAACAATAATAATGAGCAATAGCTACATTTGCTACAGAAGTTATTCCGTTAGTTCATTAAATAACAGTTGCAACTTTTTATTTTAACAATGTGTTATTAAATATTGAAATTACCTAAGATTAATGAATGTTTACTAATGAATTAACTAATGTTAATTAATAGAGCCTTAATGTAAAGTGTGACCAAACAATAAAGAATTAAAACTTTTTCAAACAATATCTAGGGAGCAACAGACAAAGTAAACAAAGGTGTATGTTTGTAGAGTAATTTAGACAGCTTAATTAAAACAGCTTCGATTGCTCAACCAATCAGAATCAAGGACTGGAACTATCCGTTTTATAAAATCCATTTAAATACGTTTTAGAAAGTAGTGCAGCTGTTTTATTTACGGGGTTTCCAGGGTAACGGCTGCATTTCTGCTGTTCAGCGCCATCTGCTGTCAGAGAGTTATGTGCACTTTCATCCAGAGCGTCTCTCACACGCTCCACAATGCGCTTCTCATCCGTGCTGTGCATTGTGACCAGTTGATGGGAAAAATATTTTTAAAATGCATTCCAAAAATCTGAATAATTTTTAATAAATAATTATTCACAATATTTTGAAGTGCCCACGATAACAATATCGTGCATATTCATTACCATGATATATCGCATTTCCGAATACCGGCACATGTCTATCTGTGGGATGGAATTCTTTGTAGGTATTATACCAAAATTATAATAAAAAAGAAAATAAAAATTTAAATATCATACTTGATGAGAAAAGACATAAGAAGAGACTGACCTGAGCCTGTTCGTCCCACAATCCCGATCTTCTCTTTTGGTCGAATGGTGCAGGAAACTTTCTTCAGTATCATTGGGAGGTTGTCTCTGTACCTCATCTCCGTTCCATCAAACACGATCTCACCCTCCTGGGGCCAGTCAGATGGAGGAGCCTTGTTTTTCACCCTTGCAGGAGCCTCCAGAGACAGAGACTAAGACAGACAGAGGTGACTAAGCAGAGGTTGAACTTCATCCTTTCTGAATTCATCGTAAAAGAGTGACAGCAGACGTCAGATCTGGAAGAGAAGCTTTTAATGTCAAGTTGAAATTGTCAGTCAAAAATGATGCAGGACTAGTACCTTGATGTAATGATGGATTCTCTCTACTGAGGTGAACCGAGCTTCAGTCTCAGAGGCCAAGCGAACAGTAAACTGGAATAACCCTGTAAGCTGTGAGAGACGAAAGAGATGTTAAGATGCTCTATATATATATATA